GGGGTGGGGGGGGGGCTGTTACTTCTCCTGCCTTATCTCTAGTCTGGATAGCCCCCACCCAACCACCTCCCATCTCCTGCCTCATACATATACATTATACATGCTGCCTATCTACAGTACTGTATAATCTTAAGCTGTTTATCTATTCATCATAACACTGACACATGTGTTAACACAGATCAGGAATTTGACCATGCGCTCCCCCTAATCCTCCCTGCTGTAGGAGTGGCACATACAGACAAATACATGTACACTCCCTACCCCTACAGTAGATCCAGACAATAGGGGTTGTAGAGTTGTAGGGGGGGGGGGGTGTGTTCAGGTTGTAGGGGGGTCAGGAGGGTGTGAAAGGGAGACATGTTAACACTTATATATCGGATTGTGAAGGTCTTGCTCTTATTAGCTTGGTTTAAGAAAAATTACACAAACAAGAGACCCATATGGCCTGTATTTCCTGACCCTAATCCACTCACGTTTCTTTTTTTTTTATCTGAACCCTCTGCCTCAACTAAGTTTCTTTATACAGTTGTATCAAAGTGGATGGTCCAAGGCCTTTATGGTGGCCGCACAAAACACAAGTTTGGTAGTGATCTTTATACAGTTGAATCAAAGTTGATGGTCCCAAGGCCTTTATGGCGGCCACACAGTTGTATCAAAGTGGATGGTCCAAGGCCTTTATGGCTGCCGCACAGTTGTGTCAAAGTTGATGGTTCAAGGCCTTTATGGATGCTGCACAAAACACAAGTTTGGTAGTGATCTTTATACAGTTGAATCAAATTGGATGGTCCAAGGCCTTTATGGCTGCCTCACAGTTGTGTCAAAGTTGATGGTTCAAGGCCTTTATGGCTGCCGCACAAAACACAAGTTTGGTAGTGATCTTCACACAGTTGAATCAAAGTTGATGGTTCAAGTCCTTAATGGATGCCGCACAAAACACAAGATTGGAAGTGATCTTTATACAGTTGAATCAAAGTTGATGGTCCCAAGGCCTTTATGGCAGCTGCACAGTTGAATCAAAGTTGATGGGTCAAGGCCTTTATGGATGCCGCACAAAACACAAGTTTGGTACTGATCTTTATACAGTTGAATCAAAGTTGATGGTTCAAGGCCTTTATGTAGGCCGCACAAAACACAAGTTTGGTAGTGATCTTTATACAGTTGTATTAAAGTGGATGGTTCAAGGCCTTAATGGATGCCGCACAAAACACAAGTTTGGTAGTGATCTTTATACAGTTGAATCAAAGTGGATGGTCCAAGGCCTTTATGTAGGCCGCACAAAACACAAGGTTGGTAGTGATCTTTATACAGTTGAATCAAAGTTGATGGTTCAGGGCCTTAATGGATGCCGCACAAAACACAAGTTTGATAGTGATCTTTGTACAGTTGAATCAAAGTTGATGGTTCAAGGCCTTAATGGATGCCGCACAAAACACAAGTTTGATAGTGATCTTTGTACAGTTGAATCACAGTTGATGGTTCAAGGCCTTAATGGATGCCGCACCAAACACAAGTTTGGGAGTGATCTTTATACAGTTGAATCAAAGGTTATGGTCCCAAGGCCTTGATGGCGGCCGCACAGTTGTATCAAAGTGGATGGTCCAAGGCCTTTATGTAGGCCGCACAAAACACAAGGATGGTAGTGATCTTTATACAGTTGAATCCAAGTTGATGGTCCCAAGGCCTTTATGGCAGCTGCACAGTTAAATCAAAGTTGATGGTTTAAGGCCTTTATGGATGCCGCACAAAACACAAGTTTGATAGTGCTCTTTGTACAGTTGAATCAAAGTTGATGGTTCAGGGCCTTAATGGATGCCACACAAAACACAAGTTTGGTAGTGATCTTTATACAGTTTAATCAAAGTTGATGGTTCAAGGCCTTAATGGATGCCACACAAAACACAAGTTTGGTAGTGATCTTTATACAGTTGAATCAAAGTTGATGGTTCAAGGCCTTTATGGATGCCGCACAAAACACAAGTTTGGAAGTGATCTTTATACAGTTGAATCAAAGTTTATGGTCCCAAGGCCTTGATGGCGGCCGCACAGTTGTATCAAAGTGGATGGTCCAAGGCCTTTATGACGGCCGCACAATTGTATCAAAATTGATGGTTCAAGGCCTTTATGGATGCCGCACCAAACACAAGTTTGGTAGTGATCTTTATACAGTTGAATCAAAGTTGATGGTCCCAAGACCTTTATGGCGGCCGCTCAAAACACAAGTTTGGTAGTGATCTTAAACAAACTGCCTGGTTATAGGTTGGGGATCTGAACGATTTCCAAGTAATGACCCAGGGACCAAGTCATCATTGACAGGGCCAGACCCATGAGCTACTCTCAGTTGCATGGATATATGGTTATAGGGTGCCAGGGATCTCAACAATATATTTCTATGTAGTTCCCTTGGCTAGCAAGACCCTGGGGCAATATTCTTTTCTTCATTCCCCAGCAATGATAAATATGGTAATGAGGTGGGGATCGTGACCAGTTTTCATTTTATGACCCCGAGATTAAGTTTCCATGTGATGACACAGGGGCTTACACAACATTGAATCCCCTTTGTGCAACAATGCCCAAGACAAAATTTAGTTGAAATCTGCTTAGCCATTCTAGACTGATAGTGTTTAAAATGAAGAGTCCACAAGGAATGGATAACATGACATACTAGTATGTCATATTTTGGGTGCTGATTTTTTTGTAGTGATCACAACTTCAATGTAACGGGTATTTAATAAATATTTGCTGATTTCGATAAATTGCTTTTGTTATTGTCCAAACCTGTCTATCTTGGGCCACTGTAGCGTTTGGTTTAGACAGGCTCCACCATCCTGAACTTCTTTATCAAACTTAACATACAAGGTATGTAATATTTAGGTAAATTTAACATTCTCAACTGAATATAGACTGTGTTTTGTACATTCCTGTGAATCTGTAATATTTCAGAAAGCGTTAGAAACGCCCACCGACTCCTCTGTGGTGAGTAGCTGCTCTACTGTATACAGTGGAGATGAAACGTCCCGTGGGAATTGGTCTGGACGTATGGACTTCCTACTTTCCTGCATTGGATATGCTGTTGGATTGGGAAATATATGGAGGTTCCCTTATCTATGCTACAAGAGTGGAGGAGGTCAGTACCAATGTTTGTCTCATCAATGCTAGTAGTTATAGTCTATAGTATCTACTTGTTATAATCCTAGGGACAGAGTTACTAAGGTCAGTGATAGCAGACACAGACACACATCAATGCTAGTAGTTATAGTCTATAATATCTACTTGTTATAATCCTAGGGACAGAGCTACTAAGGTCAGTGATAGGAGATACAGACACACATCAATGCTAGTAGTTAAAGTCTATAATATCTACTTGTTATAATCCTAGGGACAGAGTTACTAAGGTCAGTGATAGCAGACACAGACACACATCAATGCTAGTAGTTATAGTCTATAGTATCTACTTGTTATAATCCTAGGGACAGAGTTACTAAGGTCAGTGATAGCAGACACAGACACACATCAATGCTAGTAGTTATAGTCTATAGTATCTACTTGTTATAATCCTTGGGACAGAACTACTTAGGTCAGTGATACCAGACAAAGACACACATCAATGCTAGTAGTTATAGTCTATAATATCTACTTGTTATAATCCTAGGGACAGAGCTACTAAGGTCAGTGATAGCAGACACAGACACACATCAATGCTAGTAGTTATAGTCTATAGTATCTACTTGTTATAATCCTAGGGACAGAGCTACTAAGGTCAGTGATAGCAGACACAGACACACATCAATGCTAGTAGTTATAGTCTATAGTATCTACTTGTTATAATCCTAGGGACAGAGCTACTAAGGTCAGTGATAGCAGACACAGACACACATCAATGCTAGTAGTTATAGTCTATAGTATCTACTTGTTATAATCCTAGGGACAGAGCTACTAAGGTCAGTGATAGCAGACACAGACACACATCAATGCTAGTAGTTATAGTCTATAGTATCTACTTGTTATAATCCTAGGGACAGAGCTACTAAGGTCAGTGATAGCAGACACAGACACACATCAATGCTAGTAGTTATAGTCTATAGTATCTACTTGTTATAATCCTAGGGACAGAGCTACTAAGGTCAGTGATAGCAGACACAGACACACATCAATGCTAGTAGTTATAGTCTATAGTATCTACTTGTTATAATCCTAGGGACAGAGCTACTAAGGTCAGTGATAGCAGACACAGACACACATCAATGCTAGTAGTTATAGTCTATAGTATCTACTTGTTATAATCCTAGGGACAGAGCTACTAAGGTCAGTGATAGCAGACACAGACACACATCAATGCTAGTAGTTATAGTCTATAGTATCTACTTGTTATAATCCTAGGGACAGAGCTACTAAGGTCAGTGATAGCAGACACAGACACACATCAATGCTAGTAGTTATAGTCTATAGTATCTACTTGTTATAATCCTAGGGACAGAGCTACTAAGGTCAGTGATAGCAGACACAGACACACATCAATGCTAGTAGTTATAGTCTATAGTATCTACTTGTTATAATCCTAGGGACAGAGCTACTAAGGTCAGTGATAGCAGACACAGACACACATCAATGCTAGTAGTTATAGTCTATAGTATCTACTTGTTATAATCCTAGGGACAGAGCTACTAAGGTCAGTGATAGCAGACACAGACACACATCAATGCTAGTAGTTATAGTCTATAGTATCTACTTGTTATAATCCTAGGGACAGAGCTACTAAGGTCAGTGATAGCAGACACAGACACACATCAATGCTAGTAGTTATAGTCTATAGTATCTACTTGTTATAATCCTAGGGACAGAGCTACTAAGGTCAGTGATAGCAGACACAGACACACATCAATGCTAGTAGTTATAGTCTATAGTATCTACTTGTTATAATCCTAGGGACAGAGCTACTAAGGTCAGTGATAGCAGACACAGACACACATCAATGCTAGTAGTTATAGTCTATAGTATCTACTTGTTATAATCCTAGGGACAGAGCTACTAAGGTCAGTGATAGCAGACACAGACACACATCAATGCTAGTAGTTATAGTCTATAGTATCTACTTGTTATAATCCTAGGGACAGAGCTACTAAGGTCAGTGATAGCAGACACAGACACACATCAATGCTAGTAGTTATAGTCTATAGTATCTACTTGTTATAATCCTAGGGACAGAGCTACTAAGGTCAGTGATAGCAGACACAGACACACATCAATGCTAGTAGTTATAGTCTATAGTATCTACTTGTTATAATCCTAGGGACAGAGCTACTAAGGTCAGTGATAGCAGACACAGACACACATCAATGCTAGTAGTTATAGTCTATAGTATCTACTTGTTATAATCCTAGGGACAGAGCTACTAAGGTCAGTGATAGCAGACACAGACACACATCAATGCTAGTAGTTATAGTCTATAGTATCTACTTGTTATAATCCTAGGGACAGAGCTACTAAGGTCAGTGATAGCAGACACAGACACACATCAATGCTAGTAGTTATAGTCTATAGTATCTACTTGTTATAATCCTAGGGACAGAGCTACTAAGGTCAGTGATAGCAGACACAGACACACATCAATGCTAGTAGTTATAGTCTATAGTATCTACTTGTTATAATCCTAGGGACAGAGCTACTAAGGTCAGTGATAGCAGACACAGACACACATCAATGCTAGTAGTTATAGTCTATAGTATCTACTTGTTATAATCCTAGGGACAGAGCTACTAAGGTCAGTGATAGCAGACACAGACACACATCAATGCTAGTAGTTATAGTCTATAGTATCTACTTGTTATAATCCTAGGGACAGAGCTACTAAGGTCAGTGATAGCAGACACAGACACACATCAATGCTAGTAGTTATAGTCTATAGTATCTACTTGTTATAATCCTAGGGACAGAGCTACTAAGGTCAGTGATAGCAGACACAGACACACATCAATGCTAGTAGTTATAGTCTATAGTATCTACTTGTTATAATCCTAGGGACAGAGCTACTAAGGTCAGTGATAGCAGACACAGACACACATCAATGCTAGTAGTTATAGTCTATAGTATCTACTTGTTATAATCCTAGGGACAGAACTACTAAGGTCAGTGATAGCAGACACAGACACACATCAATGCTAGTAGTTATAGTCTATAGTATCTACTTGTTATAATCCTAGGGACAGAGCTACTAAGGTCAGTGATAGCAGACACAGACACACATCAATGCTAGTAGTTATAGTCTATAGTATCTACTTGTTATAATCCTAGGGACAGAGCTACTAAGGTCAGTGATAGCAGACACAGACACACATCAATGCTAGTAGTTATAGTCTATAGTATCTACTTGTTATAATCCTAGGGACAGAGCTACTAAGGTCAGTGATAGCAGACACAGACACACATCAATGCTAGTAGTTATAGTCTATAGTATCTACTTGTTATAATCCTAGGGACAGAGCTACTAAGGTCAGTGATAGCAGACACAGACACACATCAATGCTAGTAGTTATAGTCTATAGTATCTACTTGTTATAATCCTAGGGACAGAGCTACTAAGGTCAGTGATAGCAGACACAGACACACATCAATGCTAGTAGTTATAGTCTATAGTATCTACTTGTTATAATCCTAGGGACAGAGCTACTAAGGTCAGTGATAGCAGACACAGACACACATCAATGCTAGTAGTTATAGTCTATAGTATCTACTTGTTATAATCCTAGGGACAGAACTACTAAGGTCAGTGATAGCAGACACAGACACACATCAATGCTAGTAGTTATAGTCTATAGTATCTACTTGTTATAATCCTAGGGACAGAGCTACTAAGGTCAGTGATAGCAGACACAGACACACATCAATGCTAGTAGTTATAGTCTATAGTATCTACTTGTTATAATCCTAGGGACAGAACTACTAAGGTCAGTGATAGCAGACACAGACACACATCAATGCTAGTAGTTATAGTCTATAATATCTACTTGTTATAATCCTAGGGACAGAACTACTAAGGTCAGTGATAGCAGACACAGACACACATCAATGCTAGTAGTTATAGTCTATAGTATCTACTTGTTATAATCCTAGGGACAGAGCTACTAAGGTCAGTGATAGCAGACACAGACACACATCAATGCTAGTAGTTATAGTCTATAGTATCTACTTGTTATAATCCTAGGGACAGAACTACTAAGGTCAGTGATAGCAGACACAGACACACATCAATGCTAGTAGTTATAGTCTATAGTATCTACTTGTTATAATCCTAGGGACAGAGCTACTAAGGTCAGTGATAGCAGACACAGACACACATCAATGCTAGTAGTTATAGTCTATAGTATCTACTTGTTATAATCCTAGGGACAGAACTACTAAGGTCAGTGATAGCAGACACAGACACACATCAATGCTAGTAGTTATAGTCTATAGTATCTACTTGTTATAATCCTAGGGACAGAACTACTAAGGTCAGTGATAGCAGACACAGACACACATCAATGCTAGTAGTTATAGTCTATAGTATCTACTTGTTATAATCCTAGGGACAGAGCTACTAAGGTCAGTGATAGCAGACACAGACACATTTCAATTCTACATTTTGAATTATTTCTTTTATGTTGAAAGTGTGAATTACTGACTATAAGTATGTATATAGCTTTTGCCTGACATCACCTGCTCTCGCCCCTGTTGTAGAAGTACCAGTTCAATTTACTTTGATTATAATGTGACTAATATGATAGATAAAATGCCTGCAAAACAGGAGACATCTTTTGTACTAGGCACATATTTTTTGAAAATTTGTACAGTACAAAAAAAATTAAACCAATAATGAGAGGATAAATCAAGGTCTTCGGTCGTAACATTGTTCGTGTATATTTGGCTTGACCGTACGCCTAAAAATGTGACATAAGATGTGAAACAATTTTAGAACAATATTTCATAAAGGCCGCGCCACAGAACAATATTTCATAAAGGCCGCGCTACAGAACAATATTTCATGAAGGCCACGCCACAGAACGATACTTCATAAAGGCCGCGCCACAGAACAATATTTCATAAAGGCCGCGCCACAGAACAATATTTCATAAAGGCCACGCCACAGAACAATACTTCATAAAGGCCGCGCCACAGAACAATATTTCATAAAGGCCGCGCCACAGAACAATATTTCATAAAGGCCACGCCACAAAACCATATTTCATAAAGGCCGTGCTACAGAACAATATTTCATAAAGGCCATGCTACAGAACAATATTTCATAAAGGCCATGCCACAAAACAATATTTCATAAAGGCCCCGCTACAGAACAATATTTCATAAAGACCGCACCACAGAACAATATTTCATAAAGGCCGCGCCACAAAACAATATTTCATAAAGGCCATGCTACAGAACAATATTTCATAAAGGCCACGCCACAGAACAATAATTCATAAAGGCTGCGCTACAGAACAATATTTCATAAAGGCCACGCCACATAACAATAATTCATAAAGGCTGCGCTACAGAACAATATTTCATAAAGGCCCCGCTACAGAACAATATTTCATAAAGGCCTCGCCACAGAACAATATTTCATAAAGGCCTCGCCACAGAACAATATTTCATAAAGGCCTCGCCACAGAACAATATTTCATAAAGGCCCTGCTACAGAACAATATTTCATAAAGGCCGTGCTACAGAACAATATTTCATAAAGGCTGCGCTACAGAACAATATTTCATAAGGCCGCGCCACAGAACAATATTTTATAAAGGCCGCACTACAGAACAATATTTCATAAAGGCCGCACCACAGAACAATATTTCATAAAGGCTGCACTACAGAACAATATTTCATAAAGGCTGCACTACAGAACAATATTTCATAAAGGCCGCGCTACAGAACAATATTTCATAAAGGCCGCACTACAGAACAATATTTCATAAAGGCCGCACCACAGAACAATATTTCATAAAGGCCACACCACAGAACAATATTTCATAAAGGCCGTGCTACAAAATAATATTTCATAAAGGCAGCGCCACAGAACAATATTCCATAAAGGCCGCATCACAGAACATGGAAATGTTCACTCTGCAGTGTATACAATCATGTCTCAAAATGATTTCTGTCTGATCATAATCTGCAACAAGAGAGAGTATCTATATGTTCTAGTTTAATATGTTAGTACCACACGTTTTTCTTTGCTTCAGGTGCTTTCCTGATACCCTACCTGATATTCCTGGTTCTGTGTGGGATTCCTCTATTCTTCCTCGAGGTGTCCTATGGACAGTTTGCCAGTCTAAGCCCAATCACCGTATGGAGAATATGTCCTTTATTTAAAGGTAAGAATCACCATATATATAGTGGTTGTGAGTTTGACAGTGTTTAATAGGACTAGTTGATGTGTCATTAACAACGGATAGTTTTTCGATCTAGCAGCATCAAAGTGTCACAAAATTATTATAAAAGGTTTAAACAAAATTTTGGAAGAAAAATGAAAAAATCTACTTTTCAGCATACTTTATGCATGCTACCCCTTGTATTAGAGATCCCTGATCTAAGATTAAAATAGTAAATTCAAAACAATTACAAGTTTGAAAAATGCGTAGTTAAGCTTTAAAAAATAACATTCCAGTTCCAGCTCCCAACTTAGCAGTCCTTCTGCTTTAAAGGTGGAAAATAACCTATATTATTCCTGTATTACACACTCAAACTCAAAGTAATCCTGTTATAAATTATTGTGACTCTTTTAACCCTTCACCCATTGTTTTAACATCACAGTTTTGTCACGAATGACAATTGGACCTGCTCCAGTGTTTTGTCATGTTTACATATTACAACTTAGTGTAGATCTAACCCCATTATTATAAATAGCGCCAAAAACGGTCAAAGTTCCTATGATGGGTTTTGATCATTGACAGAGTCTGACTTATGGAAGAATACTCAGACTGGAATTATACAAAATCATGTCCTAGTCAAGTGAATACATTTACGATGTGAAGTATTAAGTAAACATTAAGATGGGATTAATGATATTCAAAGATTGCCCTGACAATTTAATCACATTATATCAAATGACCAGTACATCATAACCTAAATAATTGTATAAATTTGTATGTTGCATGATATAATTTTTAAGTTTGAATTTTGAATAAAGTAAAAATCATATTTGTTTTCAAATTTTGGTAATTAACATAAAATTTCTAGATATTAAGTTTGGGCGATTAATGTGCTATAAGGCTGACTGTGAAGCGTTTTACTGGTCACTAGGGTCAGTATATAGTAAAGATGTGGGAGTATATAGTCCTATTGTTACTGTACAACAGTGGTAGTCTATGTACTAGTCCTATTGTTACTGTACTACAGTGGTAGTCGATGTACTAGTCCTATTGTTACTGTACAACAGTGGTAGTCTATGTACTAGTCCTATTGTTACTGTTCTACAGTGGTAGTCGATGTACTAGTCCTATTGTTACTGTACTACAGTGGTAGTCGATGTACTAGTCCTATTGTTACTGTACTACAGTGGTAGTCGATGTACTAGTCCTATTGTTACTGTACTACAGTGGTAGTCGATGTACTAGTCCTATTGTTACTGTACTACAGTGGTAGTCGATGTACTAGTCCTATTGTTACTGTACTACAGTGGTAGTCGATGTACTAGTCCTATTGTTACTGTACTACAGTGGTAGTCGATGTACTAGTCCTATTGTTACTGTACTACAGTGGTAGTCGATGTACTAGTCCTATTGTTACTGTACTACAGTGGTAGTCGATGTACTAGTCCTATTGTTACTGTACTACAGTGGTAGTCGATGTACTAGTCCTATTGTTACTGTACTACAGTGGTAGTCGATGTACTAGTCCTATTGTTACTGTACTACAGTGGTAGTCGATGTACTAGTCCTATTGTTACTGTACTACAGTGGTAGTCGATGTACTAGTCCTATTGTTACTGTACTACAGTGGTAGTCGATGTACTAGTCCTATTGTTACTGTACTACAGTGGTAGTCGATGTACTAGTTCTATTGTTACTGTACTACAGTGGTAGTCGATGTACTAGTCCTATTGTTACTGTACTACAGTGGTAGTCGATGTACTAGTCCTATTGTTACTGTACAACAGTGGTAGTCGATGTACTAGTTCTATTGTTACTGTACAACAGTGGTAGTCGATGTACTAGTTCTATTGTTACTGTACAACAGTGGTAGTCGATGTACTAGTTCTATTGTTACTGTACAACAGTGGTAGTCGATGTACTAGTTCTATTGTTACTGTACAACAGTGGTAGTCGATGTACTAGTTCTATTGTTACTGTACAACAGTGGTAGTCGATGTACTAGTTCTATTGTTACTGTACAACAGTGGTAGTCGATGTACTAGTCCTATTGTTACTGTACAACAGTGGTAGTCGATGTACTAGTTCTATTGTTACTGTACAACAGTGGTAGTCGATGTACTAGTTCTATTGTTACTGTACAACAGTGGTAGTCGATGTACTAGTTCTATTGTTACTGTACTACAGTGGTAGTCGATGTACTAGTTCTATTGTTACTGTACTACAGTGGTAGTCGATGTACTAGTTCTATTGTTACTGTACTACAGTGGTAGTCGATGTACTAGTTCTATTGTTACTGTACTACAGTGGTAGTCGATGTACTAGTTCTATTGTTACTGTACTACAGTGGTAGTCGATGTACTAGTTCTATTGTTACTGTACTACAGTGGTAGTCGATGTACTAGTTCTATTGTTACTGTACTACAGTGGTAGTCGATGTACTAGTTCTATTGTTACTGTACTACAGTGGTAGTCGATGTACTAGTTCTATTGTTACTGTACTACAGTGGTAGTCGATGTACTAGTTCTATTGTTACTGTACTACAGTGGTAGTCGATGTACTAGTTCTATAGTTGATGTACTAGTTCTATAGTTGATGTACTAGTTCTATTGTTGATGTACTAGTTCTATTGTTCATGTACTAGTTCTATAGTCGATGTACTAGTTCTATTGTTGATGTACTAGTTCTATTGTTGATGTACTAGTTCTATAGTCGATGTACTAGTTCTATAGTTGATGTACTAGTTCCATTGTTACTGTACTAGTTCTATTGTTGATGTACTAGTTCTATTGTTGATGTACTAGTTCTATTGTTGATGTACTATATATATATTGTGATGTACTTGTTCTATTGTTAGCTCACCTGGTCCAAAGACCAAGGTGAGTTTATGCCATACCGTGGCGTCCGTCATACGTCTGTACGTCAACAATTTCTCTAATCCACTTCTTCTTCTTAACCACTGATCGGAATTTAACTAAATTTGACTGGAAGCATTCTAGGTGGTGGGGATTCAAAATTGTACAAATGGTAGGGTTAACCCCCCAGAGGGCTGAGGGACGGGGCCAACAGGGGACAATTTGGCTATATTGATTTAAGTAAATTCTTCTCTACAACTAAAAGTTGGACATCAACTATATTTGACTGGAAGCATTACTAGGTAGTTGGGATTCAAAACTGTACAAATTAATGAAATGACTTCTTCTGTAGAACTGTGCAATGGATATCAATCATATTTGGTCAGAAGCATTCATGGGAGGCGGGGATTCAAAATTGTACAAGTCGTGGGGCTTACCCCCAAGGAGGCTGAGGGGCGGGGCCAAAAGGGGTTATTTGGCTATAAGCAAATTCTTCTCTTCAACTAAAAGTTGGACATCAACCATATTTGACTGGAAGAATTCATAGGTAGTGGGGATTCAAAATTGTACAAATGATGGTTCTGACCCCCCCAGGGGGCTGTGGGGCAGGTCCAATAGGGGTCAATTTGGATATATTGCTTTAAGTGACTTCTCCTCTGGAACCTAGAGATGGATTGTACCATATTTTACTGAAAGCACCCCTAGGTAGTGGGGATTCAAAATTTCTACAGATGGTGGGGCTGACCCCCCAGGGGGCGAAGGGGCAGGGCCAAAAGGGGGCAATTCGGCTAAATTGCTATAAATGACTTCTGCTGTAGAACTATGCACTGGATATCAATCATATTTGGTTGGAAGCGTTCATGGGTGGCAGGGATTTAAATTTTATAAGTAGTGCAGCTGACCCCCTTGGCTAAAGGGTGGGGCAAAAAATAGTGCATTGCTTGGAAATGGTTGAGATCCCCATCCTATTACCATATATACAATTGCTGAGTTTGAAGAGAAGAATGCACATACATGTATGCTTCCAGGATTGCCAGGGGTCTGGCCCCACCCTTAAAGACATAGTCCCTGGGTCATAACTTTGAAACGGTTGAGATCCCCACCCCAAAACTGTATATACAAATGCTGGGCATAAAGAGACGATTGCAGTCATTATATAAGAATTGACCCCAGGGTCTGCCCTACCCTTGGAGAATTAACCCTGGGTCATAACTTTGAAATGGTTAAGATCCCCACCCCAAAACTAAATATACAATTGTTGGGCATAAAGAGATGAATGCAGTCATGATATTATAATTGATCCTAGGGTCTTGCCACCACCCTAGGGACCTAGTTTCTGAATCACACCTTGGAAACAGTTGAGATTCTCACCCCATAACCATCCATAAATTGCTGGACATGAAAAATCTAATACAGATATGATACAAGGATTGGCTTGGGTCTGGCCCATTTCCTTTGATCTTATTTGGAGAATATTTTGCAATGTTTACTTTTGATATCCAGGTTAGCGATACAGGCCCTCTGAGCCTCTTGTTGAGATATTTGTTAGAGACCTTTAAATTCTCCTACACTGTTTTGATTCTATAACCACCTGAACCAACTTCCTCTCCGGTACTGTGTAATCACTCACGTTCTAGGCCTATACATATTTACACTTGTATAACAGGGTACACAATAATGTACATATTTACACTTGTATAACAGAGTACACAATGATGTACATATTTACACTTGTATAAAAGGGTACACAATGATGTACATATTTACACTTGTATAACAGGGTACACAATGACATACATATTTACACTTGTATAACAGGGTACACAATGATATACATATTTACACTTGTATAACAGGGTACACAATGATGTACATTTTATACTTGTATAACAGGGTACACAATGATGTACATATTTACACTTGTATAACAGGGTACACAATGATGTCATTCTCCTACCCCAAAACGTCCACTCACTTTACTTCCACCCATTTGACATCTGTAATAAACTTAGAAAGTTTGGGTAAATTTGATAGATTTTCAAGATTCTCAAGCTCCAAGTAAACGGTAACATAAAATAGTCAAGGAAGACGAGGGTACAACCAACTGTTTTGGGGAAAAAACCCTCATTTGGGTGTTTAGGGGAACATTGGTACCAGTTTGATAAGAAAGTACTGATTTAAACCTGTATGACATCAGGGTACAAAACGATATTGTCCCATCATCAAACATTGTCCTTGTATGACCTTGGTGTACTTATCTACATTTATATATTCCTAATAATCAATTCAAAAACTTGAACCAGCTACTTATTGGTAGGGAGATATGAAGGTCTACCCTTGTGTCATCAGAACCAGCTACTTATTGGTAGGGAGATATGTAGATCTACCCTTGTGTCATCAGAACCAGCTACTTATTGGTAGAGAGATATGCAGGTCTACCCTTGTGTCATTAGAACCAGCTACTTATTGGTGGGGAGATATGTAGATTTACCCTTGTGTCATTAGAACCAGCTACTTATTGGTAGGGAGATATGCAGGTCTACCCTTGTGTCATCAGAACCAGCTAATTATTGGTAGAGAAATATGTAGATCTACCCTTGTGTCATCAGAAACAGCTACTTATTGGTAGGGAGATATGTAGATCTGCTGGTAGGGAGATATGAAGATCTACCCTTGTGTCATCAGAACCAGCTAATTATTGGTAGAGAAATATGTAGATCTACCCTTGTGTCATCAGAAACAGCTACTTATTGGTAGAGTGATATGCAGGTCTACCCTTGTGTCATCAGAACCAGCTAATTATTGGTAGAGAAATATGTAGATCTACCCTTGTGTCATCAGAACCAGCTACTTATTGGTGGGGAGATATGAAGATTTACCCTTGTGTCATTAGAACCAGCTACTTATTGGTGGGGAGATATGTAGATTTTCCCTTGTGTCATTAGAACCAGCTACTTATTGGTAGAGAGATATGAAGATCTACCCTTGTGTCATCAGAACCAGCTAATTATTGGTAGAGAAATATGTAGATCTACCCTTGTGTCATCAGAAACAGCTACTTATTGGTAGGGAGATATGTAGACCTACTGGTAGGGAGATATGAAGATCTACCCTCGTGTCATCAGAAACAGCTACTTATTGGTAGAGAGATATGTAGTTCTACCCTTGTGTCATCAGAACCAGCTACTTATTGGTGGGGAGATATGAAGATTTACCCTTGTGTCATTAGAACCAGCTACTTATTGGTGGGGAGATATGTAGATTTTCCCTTGTGTCATTAGAACCAGCTACTTATTGGTAGAGAGATATGAAGATCTACCCTTGTGTCATCAGAACCAGCTACTTATTGGTAGGGAGATATGTAGATCTACTGGTAGGGAGATATGAAGATCTACCCTTGTGTCATCAGAAACAGCTACTTATTGGTAGAGAGATATGAAGATCTACCCTTGTGCCATCAGAAACAGCTACTTATTGGTAGAGTGATATGCAGGTCTACCCTTGTGTCATCAGAGCCAGCTACTTATTGGTAGGGAGATATGTAGATCTACCCTTGTGTCATCAGAAACAGCTACTTATTGGTAGGAAGATATGAAGGTCTACCCTTGTGTCATCAGAACCAGCTACTTATTGGAAGGGAGATATGTAGATCTACCCTTGTGTCATCAGAACCAGCTACTTATTGGTAGAGAGATATGTAGATCTACCCTTGTGTCATCAGAAACAGCTACTTATTGGTAGAGTGATATGCAGGTCTACCCTTGTGTCATCAGAACCAGCTACTTATTGGTAGAGAGATATGTAGATCTACCCTTGTGTCATCAGAAACAGCTACTTATTGGTGGGAGATATGAAGATCTACTGGTAGGGAGATATGAAAATCTACCCTTGTGTCATCAGAAACAGCTGTTGGGTATCGCACCTGATTTTAAAATTACAGTGTGTAGTTATAATTTTTTATCATTTGACTTATTTGATGTATCACATCCGCTGTCATCACTTTACAATACGTTCCCATGTTCATTGTATTAGGGCCTTTGACTTTCAGTTCTATTTTCTTCTGACTGTATTGTGATAAAATAATGAAGTATATTCCTTCAGGAAGTCTATAATTATATATCAATCGGTTTGAGCCATCTATAAACCGTAAAAGACAATCGGAGAAATATCATTTAATGTGATTCTGGAAATTTTCCATGGCAACATGGATCATTCTCCTGCTGCATGCCCACTAGGTGTCTATATATGGAGCAGTCGTGGAGGCTGGTTACAGAAAATCAATACAAAAACAGATTCATTGCCTTGCCAGATCATTGTCATGTTTTATCACCCACTTGACCAGTCAGTGATATAAACCACATCTGGACTGGTCATCACTAAAACTGGACTGGTCATCAATAATTCTAGACTCATTTTCTTAAGTGAAACTAAGCTTTAAAATGATATTTTTCTAAATGCCCTAATGGTTGTCTTTTTATGATCAGTTTCATTCTGTGAACTTTTAACGTCAAGGTGGGATGTATCTAAGTGGGTGTAGGGAGAATGAATATAAAGGTTGGAGTATAATTTCTGCCACACTCTGTAGGTGCACTCCAATGTTTGGTAAGGAAAAGTAAGTCTGTCGTGATCTCAATTTATAAAGACAAATCACATACATCATTATTCTAAAGTTGTCACCACAAACAACAGGACCTTGCTACCACTTGAAACGGTCCCACTATATCACAATAGTATAACATCAGTCCCACTATTGTGATATAGTGGGACTGATGTTATACTATTGCGATATAGTGGGACTGATGTTATACTATTTTGATATAGTGGGACTGATGTTATACTATTGTGATATAGTGGGACTGTTTAATTGATGTTAATGTTATACTATATCACAATAGTATAACATTAACATCAATTAAACAGTTCCACTATATCACAATAATATAACATCAGACCACTGTATCACAATAGTATCACATCAGTCCCACTATATCACAATAGTATAACATCAGTCCCACTATTGTGATATAGTGGGACTGATGTTATACTATTGTGATATAGTGGGACTGTTTAATTGATGTTAATGTTATACTATATCACAATAGTATAACATTAACATCAATTAAACAGTCCCACTATATCACAATAATATAACATCAGTCCACTGTATCACAATAGTATCACATCAGTCCCACTATATCACAATAGTATAACATCAGTCCCATTATATCACAATAGTATAACATCAATTAAATGGTCCCACTGTATCACAATAGTATAACATCAATTAAACAGTCCCACTATATCACAATAGTATAACATCAATTAAATGGTCCCACTTTGATCACAATAGTATAACATCAATTAAACGGTCCCACTATACCACAATAGTATAACATTAGTCCCACTATATCACAATAGTATAACATCAATTAAACGGTCCCACTATACCTCAATAGTATAACATTAGTCCCACTATATCACAATAGTATAACATCAGTCCCACTATATCACAATAGTATAACATCAATTAAACAGTCCAACTGTATCACAATAGTATAACATCAATTAAATGGTCCCACTTTGATCACAATAGTATAACATCAATTGAACGGTCCCACTATATCACAATAGTATAACATCAATTAAACAGTCCCACTGTATCACAATAGTATAACATCAATTAAACGGTCCCACTGTATCACAATAGTATAACATCAATTGAACGGTCCCACTATATCACAATAGTATAACATCAATTAAACAGTCCCACTATATCACAATAGTATAACATCAATTAAATGGTCCCACTATATCATAATAGTATAACATCAATTAAGCGGTCCCATTGTATCACAATAGTATAACATCAATTAAACGGTCCCACTATATCACAATAGTATAACATCAATTAAACGGTCCCACTATATTTGTTTTTCAGTGATAATAAAACATGCACTAAATTAAATACCAGCCTATTTATCATGTATCAATTATGAAACCAGTTATATCAGCTTCTATAAATCACTCTTGTTGTCCCGATGTTAGTATGCAGGGGGTTATGATCTTAAAGTGGGTGGAAACCGGAGTACCCAGAAAAAGTCCACATGTAATTAATGTGATTGTTATGGCTGTCGTTATGGAGACTATAATATAATATTTTGTTGTTGTAGGTGTGGGGTATGGCTGTCGTTATGGAGACTATAATATAATATTTTGTTGTTGTAGATGTGGGGTATGGTTGTCATTATGGAGACTATAATATAATATTTTGATGTTGTAGGTATGGGGTATGGCTGTTGTTATGGAGACTATAATATAATATGTTGTTGTTGTAGGTGTGGTGTATGGCTGTTGTTATGGAGACTATAATATAATATTTTGATGTTGTAGGTGTGGGATATGGCATGGTGATCATCTCGGGTATCGTGTGTATCTATTATAACATCATCATCACCTGGACCATTTACTTCCTGTATTATTCCTTCCGGGCTGTCCTCCCGTGGAGCACCTGTGATAATTGGTGGAACACCGAAAAATGTTTTTTGAGAACAAAAGATCATGAGAAAAACACTACATTGGTGACCTTGTCAAATGAAACAAACAGCTCTAATACTTCCTGGTCCTATGATGTCTCCATGGCAACTCCATTACTGGCAGATAATGATACGAAAACAGCAAGTGAGGAATTCTGGCAGTAAGTAGATATTTTGTTAGCTTTAAACGTTCTTCTTACAGTTTTTTGCTTAAAAGCAATTTTTAGCTCACCAGGCAAAAGGCTTTCTTGAATTGATGCACTGTCAACCTTCTGTCAAATTATGTCTTTCTTACTTCTTTTTGAGAGTCATAGGTTGTTGATAAATAAAATTTAACATGTAGCTTGTCATTATGAAGGGCAATAAGATTGTTCAATTAAATGACAATCATCTATTTCAAGGTTGAATATAAAATTTGTTGAAATATTGAAACAAGTTTTTATAAGGAAGCGTGTAGTGTGATAATATTAAGTTTGTGGCTTGTAAATGAATGACTTTTACAGACTGTCTTTCAAGGTCACATGGTCAAAGTAAAGACTTTGCTCTTAAGACCTTGCTAAAGAAACATGCTGCCATGAAAGCTGAGAGTTGACCTTCGCTTGTCTGCCTAGATTAATAGGAACATACACATCACATTAGTGTCATTATCTATTTCCTACCCTGTATCACAGTGATCTAGATCATGTTGGTTTGAAATATGGATAAAAAGCATGTGAAAATGGACAAGACCATCCATGTGTATGCAAATATATATGTGTCTGTTTCATCAATATATATATACTTGTGTGAGCCGACAGTAAGATAGATTGAGAGTATTTAACTGTAGTGATTTACCGTATGTAGTGTGTATACCCATTGGCATGTCTTAACTAACTTTGTGATGTAGCGGTAAATGATACTTTTAAAAAAAAAAATCTTTGCACAGGCGTGCAGTTCTACAGATGTCCGATGGTATAGACGATATGGGAGACCTGCGCTGGGATCTCCTCATTTGTCTCTTTGTTGCCTGGGTCATTGTGTTCCTCTGCCTCTTTAAAGGTGTGAAGTCGTCTGGAAAGGTAAGGAAGTACAAAGTATTAAAAACTGATAAATCAGGACATCATTAATTCAAACCTTTTAACAGGAAACTCACAATTTGATGTTAATCGCTGACTTAGGGTAAGAGGTTTTGTTCCCAAAATTTGGAAAATTCATCTAAGGTGATAAACAAAGCAATTAAAATTCTGTATACAGATAATAAAGGGTTCCGATTAACAAGGTTCTATTGTATACAGAAAATGAAGTGTATAGATTAACAAGGTTCTATTGTATACAGAAAATGAAGTGTCTAGATTAGCAAGGTTCTATTGTATACAGAAAATAAAGTGTCTAGATTAGCAAGGTTCTATTGTATACAGAAAATAAAGTGTCTAGATTAGCAAGGTTCTACTGTATACAGATAATAAAGTGTCTAGATTAGCAAGGTTCTCTGTATACAGGTAATAAAGTGTCCAGATCAGCAAGGTTCTACTGTATACATGTAATACAGTATCCTGATTAGCAAGGTTCTACTCTATACAGATAATGAAGTGTCATGTTTGGCAAGGTTCTACTGTATACAGATAATTAAGTGTCCAGATTATTAAGGTTTCTCTTAATACAGAACAGAACAGAATGTCCAAATTAACAAGGATCTATGGTTTACAAAAATAAAGTGTCTGGATTAACAAGATTCTATTATCACTTTAATTCTCTTGACTTCGGCCATCATATATTTACATTTAATACCCTCACCATCAATCCTGTATTCTATATACACCACTCACATTAAATCTTGTCAACTTCAATGTAACAGCCACCTTCCTGTATCTGTGTTTAAGGTTGTATATGTGACAGCCACCTTCCTGTATCTTTCAGTGTGTTTTTGGTAGTACATGTGATGGCCACCTTCCTGTATCTTTCATTGTTTTTGGTAGTACATGTGATGGCCACCTTCCTGTATCCTTCAGTGTTTTTGGTAGTACATGTGATTGCCACCTTCCTGTATCTTTCAGTGTTTTTGGTAGCACATGTGATGGCCACCTTCCTGTATCTTTCAGTGTTTTTGGTAGTACATGTGATGGCCACCTTCCTGTATCTGTGTTTGAGGTTGATTATTTGTCAGCCATCTTCCTATTTCTGTGTTGTAGGTAGTATATGTGACAGCCACCTTCCTGTATCTGTGTTTTAGGTAGTATATATGTGGCCCCCTTCCTGTATCTGTGTTTGAGGTAGTATATGTGATGGCCACCTTCCTGTATCTGTGTTTTAGGTAGTATATTTGACAGCCATCTTCCTATATCTGTGTTTTAGGTAGTATATGTGACAGCCACCTTCCTGTATCTATGTTTTAGGTAGTATATGTGACGGCCGCCTTCCTGTATCTGTGTTTTAGGTAGTATATGTGACAGCCACCTTCCTGTATCTATGTTTTAGGTAGTATATGTGACGGCCGCCTTCCTGTATCTGTTGTAGGTCGTATATGTGACAGCCACCTTCCTGTATCTGTTGTAGGTAGGATATGTGACAGCCACCTTCCTGTATCTGTTTTAGGTAGTGTATGTGACGGCCGCCTTCCTGTATCTGTTGTAGGGAGTATATGTGACAGCCACCTTCCTGTAACTGTTTTAGCTAGTGTATGTGACGGCCGCCTTCCTGTATCTGTTGTAGGTCGTATATGTGACAGCCACCTTCCTGTATCTGTTGTAGGGATTATATGTGACAGCCACCTTCCTGTATCTGTTGTAGGTAGTATATGTGACAGCCACCTTCCTGTAACTGTTTTAGGTAGTGTATGTGACGGCCGCCTTCCTGTATCTGTTGTAGGTAGTATATGTGACAGCCACCTTCCTGTATCTGTTTTAGGTAGTGTATGTGACAGCCACCTTCCTGTATCTGTTGTAGGTAGTATATGTGACAGCCACCTTCCTGTATCTGTTGTAGGTAGTATATGTGACAGCCACCTTCCTGTAACTATGTTGTAGGTAGTATATGTGACGGCCACCTTCCCGTATCTGTTGTAGGTAGTATATGTGACAGCCACCTTCCCGTATCTGTTGTAGGTAGTATATGTGACAGCCACCTTCCTGTATCTGTTGTAGGTAGTATATGTGACAGCCACCTTCCTGTAACTATGTTGTAGGTAGTATATGTGACGGCCACCTTCCCGTATCTGTTGTAGGTAGTATATGTGACAGCCACCTTCCCGTATCTGTTGTAGGTAGTATATGTGACAGCCACCTTCCTGTAACTATGTTGTAGGTAGTATATGTGACGGCCACCTTCCTGTATCTGTTGTAGGTAGTATATGTGACAGCCACCTTCCTGTATCTGTTGTAGGTAGTATATGTGACAGCCACCTTCCCGTATCTGTTGTAGGTAGTATATGTGACGGCCACCTTCCCGTATCTGGTGCTGCTGATTTTACTAGTACGCGGAGTGACATTGCCTGGAGCAGGAGCTGGTATCTATTTCTACCTGGTGCCCGATTGGAACAAACTAGCCACTTTTGAGGTAAGTAAATAACAGAACTGTATTAAGTTTTTGTTGGTTATATACACATGTTTGATACCTTCAAATCATGCCTGTTATATTTATTCCTACTATAACTTACATGTAGAATCAAAGGTGTTCTGTATCTGGAATACAAGTATTTTACAATTTATTTAGTGATATCTCGTCAGCAATTAAAACCTGTCTAGGTGATAATGGTCACCTAGGACCACATGAATAGTTAAGGTAATGCATGATGATTGCATGTATTCTCAGAACTCTCACATATTCAATCATTTAGTAGTTCAAAAGAGATCTTCAATAAATAAATGGAGGAATGCCTGGTTCACTGTATCAGAGACAATACTGTTACAATTGTCAGTAGTCATTTTGAATACGATTACAGCATAACAAGTGCTTGATAATCAGATGATACGGAAATATAATGCTATCAACATCCCAGATATCAATTTACCTTAAATCTCAGTTTGTTTTTCTGACTGAAGTGCTGACTTCCTTCAGTCAGCTCGTCTGGACATATACACATAATTAAACTAATGCTGTGGTTAGATTGTAGTAAATGAAGGATAATGTTTGAAATGTGTTTGATCTTGATAACTTTAATTATAAGCATTGCATGTCATGTGCTTGCATCCTTCGGCAGGTTTTAATGTAATGAATCCATTTATGTTAGCAAGACTATATCATCTTTATTTCCTCCAAATTGGAGAGTATGATACAATGATAGTACATGAATAATACATCATTTACAAAATAGTCTACGAAAGTATGTGCCTCAGGTTTCAGACCCTGTAGTATAGAGAGTTAGTCTAAGAAAGTATGTGCCCCAGGTTTCAGACCCTGTAGTATAGAGAGTTAGTCTAAGAAAGTATGTGCCCCAGGTTTCAGACCCTGTTGTATATAGAGTTAGTCTAAGAAAGTATGTGCCTCAGGTTTCAGACCCTGTAGTATAGAGAGTTAGTCTAAGAAAGTATGTGCCCTAGGTTTCAGACCCTGTTGTATAGAGAGTAAGTCTAAGAAAGTATGTGCCCCAGGTTTCAGACCCTGTTGTATAGAGAGTAAGTCTAAGAAAGTATGTGCCTCAGGTTTCAGACCCTGTTGTATAGAGAATTAGTCTTAAGAAAGTATGTGCCCCAGGTTTCAGACCCTGTAGTATAGAGAGTTAGTCTAAGAAAGTATGTGCCCCAGGTTTCAGACCCTATTGTATAGAGAGTTAGTCTAAGAAAGTATGTGCCTCAGGTTTCAGACCATGTTGTATAGAGAGTTAGTCTAAGAAAGTATGTGCCCTAGGTTTTAGACCCTGTTGTATAGAGAGTTAGTCTAAGAAAGTATGTGCCTCAGGTTTCAGACCCTGTAGTATAGAGGGTTAGTCTAAGAAAGTATGTGCCCCAGGTTTCAGACCCTATTGCATAGAGAGTAAGTCTAAGAAAGTATGTGCCTCAGGTTTTAGACCCTGTAGTATAGAGAGTTAGTCTAAGAAAGTATGTGCCCCAGGTTTCAGACCCTATTGCATAGAGAGTTAGTCTAAGAAAGTATGTGCCTCAGGTTTCAGACCCTTTAGTATAGAGAGTAAGTCTAAGAAAGTATGTGCCCCAGGTTTCAGACCCTGTAGTATAGAGAGTTAGTCTAAGAAAGTATGTGCCTCAGATTTCAGACCCTGTTGTATAGAGAGTAAGTCTAAGAAAGTATGTGCCCCAGGTGTCAGAACCTATTGTATAGAGAGATAGTCTAAGAAAGTATGTGCCTCAGGTTTCAGACCCTGTTGTATAGAGAATTAGTCTAAGAAAGTATGTGCCCCAGGTTTCAGACCCTATTGCATAGAGAGTAAGTCTAAGAAAGTATGTGCCCCAGGTGTCAGAACCTGTTGTATAGAGAGTACCTACAGAAGTTTACACGACTGGCTGATCTGATACTTTTTTACAGCATGTCAGGAGATGCAGCTTTGTCTTGAAGGTTCCAGGCAAGGCACAGCTTTTACTCATGGTTAGGTGTGATATATATTATCGTAGTTTTTAGGTCACCTGAGCTTTAGCTCAAGTGACCTATTGCTATCCGTTTTCGTCCGTCGTCGTCCGTCGTCCGTCGTCCGTTAACATTTTACATTTCAAACTTAAAGTCAAGTTCTGCTGGGCCGATTGAACTGAAAGTTG